CCAGGCTGGAGTGGAAAAGGAGGCTGATAGACACTGTGTCATGAGGAAGATTGTCCAGGTCCCTCTTCCTCTGTCACAGCGTCCAGAGGCCAGGTCACTAACTTCCTAAACCCGCCCAGCTACCCTCGATCCATGACCCGCCTGTCCCCTCACCCCCTCCCTCATTTCCAAACCTGGCAGCCATCCCACCCACCTGGCCACGGAGAGAGTGGAGATGGTGCATGGACGGCTGCCCCACAACCAGAGAAAGGTCAGCTCAATAAAGCAGTTCACAGCGATGCCCTGAGGTGGAGCCAGGGTCAGAGGCAAAGGACAGGACCCCTCCAAATGAACACCGAGGAAACCCCGAGCCCTGGCCTCACCCTCTCTCCCAGGGAGGCCCCAGAGAGGCTGCCCTCCCCTGGATCTCCTCCTGGGCAGCCCAGGGGCTGTTTGTGACTCTGGAAACAGGTACCTGGGGGAAAATCCACATTGCTCCACAGAGATGTGCAACCTCCAATGAATGGCTTCTTGTGCCAGCCTCAGTCTTCTCATCTATACAATAGGATTAGTGTCACCTGCTCCCCTCTGCTCCCTCGTCCTTGTGAGGGCTAAACTGAGATGATGGGTGAATGTCACATACCAACAGGCACCCATGAAATGTCCCTTGAGTGAGTGAATGATGAGATGGTCCCTTTCCACTTTTAAAGTGCTCTGGTTTTGAGGCTGGGGGGACACCACGGTGATGTCCTGGCCCTGAATGACTGTGAAACTACTCTGAGGACATCTCTACCGGACACAAAGGTTGCCTGTGCCCCTGAAGCCCAGCACCTGCAGGCACCAGGGAGACCAAGGATTCCGATTCTAAAGGGGATTCCCAGCAAAATGGCTACCTCTAAAGATAGAGGTACCCTGATCCCAGCACACAAACTGACCAGAAGAGGAATAAAATGAAAAGGAGATCAAAGGCACCCATGCCACCACACCCCACAATCAGCTGGTCCCCAGCCCCACACAGTCTCACATTCACCCATGCAACCGCCAACCTCAGAGACAGCCAGCACGCTCCAGAGTCACACACAGCCAGCCGCGCACCCCACACCTCCCTCCAGCTCCCCACAGGTCCCTGCCCACACCCTGGCCCTGAGCCACCCCCTGCTCTGCATGCAGCACACACTCATACACTAATGACCCCACTCCACTCACACCCCAGCCTCCCCTGGCAGACCCCAGCAACACGCCCAGCCCCAGCAGGGAACTGTCTTCTGCTCCTGCGCCCCACTGAAAGCCCCACAACTGGGTGGGGGAGCTCCCAGGGCCTCTGCCCACGGAACAGCGCTCTGATTCTGATTCTGCTAGATGACCGAGGAAGGCCTGCTCTCTCCGGCCTGCGGAAGTGCCTGTGGCGTGGGGCAAACTGTGACCTCACTGACACGCACCCTGCCCACTCTCCTGCTCAGGAGGTCTAGGCACTGTGTGAGTCTCAAGGCAAGATGACCTGCAAGTCCCCTTGGGGGATCCCAGCAGTGGCTCCCACGGGGCCTGGCAGAGGGCCCAGCAGGCGGATCCGGGGCCAGGTCACCGTGCCAGAGCTGCCCAAATCCTCTGGATTCCAGGCCCCCTCCTGGGGTGGCGGTGCAGATCCTGGCAGTGGGATCCTGTCACGTCACAGGTGGCAGGCATTAAACTCTGACAAACAATAGTCACTCCTAAATGCTGTCCCCCAATCTGGGGACGGGCTGCAGGGAGCCCCCTATGTGTCCCACTCAGAGCCAGGCCAAGAGGCCAGGAGAGGAAATGCAAACCAAGGACACGTTGGGTCCTCTGAGGTTGGTCCCTTCATCTGCCTAATGGGACATGAAGTGAGGGGAGGTAGACGTGGGTATTGTCCACCCCCACTCGCTCCCCCAGACCAGGGCCCCCTCAACTCAGACCTTGGGTCCATCAAGTCTCTAAGGGTCAGGGTATGCGTGAGGGTCAGTCTGGGATAAAACTGGCGTGATGGATGGTCAGGCATTGCCCAGCGGGGAGGGAAGGGACACTTGAGGTGGGGAGAGCAAGCAGCCTCTGGTTCTGCCCATGTCCCTGGTTCCCAGTGGGGCTGCAGGAGAATAAGGGCTAATGGCCTAGCAGCCACAAGGACGGAAGGGTGGGAAAGATGATTTGAAGCCCAGCAAAGGGACTCCAGCCAGAGACCCAGGCCTGGGGCAGTGGGCTGCCTGTGCGCTGGGTCTGGCAGTGCAGGGTGCCGGGGCCAACTCCCAGGAGACACAGCACCCTGCTGCAGGCCCACTGCGGAGAGGAAGGGAACGACTGGGAACCAGGAAGACAGGAGAGGGAGAAAAGGAGGACAAGGGAAGGTGGCCCCAGGAGGCACCACAAGCTGTAGAGCCCCACTGGAGGGACACCTAACCTGGGACAGGCCCCTAGGGCCCCTCGACTGCTCCTCTCAGCCACAGTGCCCCAGATGGGCCACACCCCACAGGTACACACGCCCATGTGGAGCAGCGGTCACACAGGGACCATGCCTGCCAGCCCACTGCCCTCGTGACTCTGGAGTCCCAACGCTTCCTGGGGCGACCACTGGGCCCACAGAACCATCCTGGGCTCCCACAGGGGTTCAACAGCCCACCAGCCAGGGTCCCTATCCCCACATTCATGAAATCCTAGGGCAGCGCAAGGCAGGGCTGGACTGAGGGCCTGGGGCTGCCCCACAGAGCAGGGGCGTAACTAGGGGGTGAATTACTCCCCAAAGTGACCAAGCCACTCCCATCATGATGACTTTTGTTTTTTGCCCATGAACTATTAGAACATCTCTCTCGACCTTGCAGATTCACCTCCCGGGACAAGAGCCCAACAAAGCAGCAGCTCTCTTTGTAGGGCAGAGACTAGGAGACAGGGGCCTTAAGAATGTCCCCTGCTACCTACTGGMCACATGAATTTAGCTGTCTGGCCTCCCTCAGTTTCCCCATTGTTATCTTAAAGGGTAACAATTCGAACACATTCAAGTGTCCTGAGATTTTCTGGGGAAGACCCCGGACGACACAGACCCCAGGACAGAGGCCCTCTGGGCCTTCTCAGAGGAAGGCAAGGCCACAGGACTACCACCCCCCACCCCCACTCCAGGGAAGCAGATAGGCAGCACCTGGCTCAAACTCCCAGGGCCCCTGTCCCAATTGGGTCACCCTCAGGCAGGGCCTGGACTGTCTGAGGCCCAGATCCTAACCTTTGGTAAGTGAATATGCATGATGTGGGGGCCACGGGAACAGGAGTCAACGGGTCTCTAAGTCACCCCGTGGTGGTCACTACTACAGTTAGTAGCTGTCACCACTAACTCCGCCCCTTTATACCAGTTCAAACCCCTGTAGGGCAGGACACTGCGCTCTTCCTGACCTTGTCTCAATCTCCCCTCCTATCCCAAGATGGGAAGGCCCTTCTAGGGGACAATGGCCTGGATTAGTACCTGGAGGTGAGCAGAGAGGTCAGGGGGGCTTTGCCTTCCCCACTCTACCCTTCCTTCCAGGGATGGGTCCCCCCACTTTCAAATGGTAATCGATGCGGCCGTGGTGAAACATAATTAGTCTTGGGACTAGAAGGGTAAACAAATGCGTAATTCATGAATTTGCTAATTGTCCTTCATTTTGATCTTCTGCCATCTCTGCTAGCTTGAGTGACATACATCTCATGGCAAGGACTCAGAGAGTGCTGGGAGCGAGCCGCGGAGGCTGTTGGCATGGGAGCTGGACACCTGGTCTGACCCTCCTCCAGCTGCCCACCGCCTCAGACATCACACAAGGCAGGAAGCCCGTGGCACTCAATTGTTTATTTTCTGAAACTGTACACAAACGTAAAATACTTTAACAGCCAGTCTATGGGGGAGATTGTTTGGTTTTAAATTATTATGAAACAGAACCTAAGGGGAGCTTTTATTAAATAAACATAAAGATGAGGATTTAAGGGTACACACCTGCATTCTACCAGTCTTTTTTTTTTTTTTTTTTTTTTTACTCTAGCTTCTGGGTGTGTGAGGATAGAAAAGACACATCGAACTGAATAAACAAAATCCGTTTATACCCTGAAACGTTGGCAGGCCACTCAAGCGATTGTTCAGAACGTCCATCTCACAGAAGATGGCCTCACCGTCTAATAAAAATTAAAACTGATCTGTTGGCCTCTTTGGTTCCAAAATTATGTATAATACATTTAACTGTATTCATTTTTTTTTTGCTGCTATAAAAATAACTTCTTTTTTTCAAATGGCAGTTTCTGACTAACCCATGCAACTAAATCAGTGCAAACATTAAAAGCAATCATTCGCTTAAAAAAGAAGCAAAGGATTTCATTTCAAGTATAAAAAATATAAAAAGAGTCATACGAGTCCAGTTTCGTCTAGTGTGGGTCAACCCTTTAAATTGCATAGTTCACGTGGCACTTGGACATCTAGGGGGAGAGCGACTTCAGTGCTCTCTCCCCCGGGGGGCCACTTCTGGACACGCGCAGATCGGCAAGTGCTATATCATGTGCATCAGGCAGGTCAGCAAGTGCTATGCGGGGCAGGTAGGCAGGCGGGTGGGTGGGCAGGTGCCATGTCCATGGCAGGCCCCGGTGGCCAGGGCCCACCCACGCAGGCAACTTCTGCAAAGCAGTGAAAGCCTTCCCCATCTCTCCAAGGCCAGCAGAGTAGCTCCCTTCCCCCACCCTGTGCTGAAGGACACCCACCAGCATTTCCAGAATGCCTCTTCCACCTCCCATTGCCTCCTCTGGGCTCATCCCTTGCCTAGTGGTCATTCCCAGCCTCCCCAACCAGTCCTAGAGGAATGTCCCCAGGGAAGGGCACCGATTGCAACTTTTCTTCTTCTCATTTTGAACAATTCCGTTTTTCGCATCAAAGGTCATACCTGATAGAAAAGTCTTTACAGTTCTACAACTGGCACAAAGGACCTGTCAACTGTTGGAGATCAGTTAAAGCATCGAATTAAGACCCCATCCTCTCCCACCCCCCCCCCCCCCCCAAACACACACACACACACACACACACACACACACACACACACACACGTCGTGTCAGGGACCCGACTGACAAACAGTCGAATGGTCATTGCCCCTGCTCCTCAGTCTCTGACAGGCGGTGGACTTCCTGGGCTTCCTGCCCTTCACCAGGGCGTGGAGGGACAGTTTCCCCAGGTCTTGAGGCATGGTGGATGCCAGGTGGGGAGAAAGGGGCTGCTGCAGCAGATCAGGCCTGGTACAGCCCAGGGGGACACACAGCCTGCCGCATGGCTCCCCACCCTGCTTTTCTTCTCCATGGCACTCTCTCTCTTCCTTTCTCTCTCTCTCTCTCTCTCTCTGTCTCTGTCTTTGTGCTTTTATGTGTGCTCAGAAGGCGCGATTCAGAGTGGCCCGGCCAGCTGGTGGGAATGGTGGCTGCTCACCCCATTCTCTTCGATTGACAGGCATTGGTAGCTAAGCTGCCATTTGTCACCGCATCCATTTGCTGGTATCCTGGAGGCTGCTGTGTGGGTGGCAGGATGCGTCTGGCTGTGCATGTCTACGGTGTGCATTTGAAAGTCTCTCCTGTCAGCTGGGGGCTCTCCCTCTGGCTTTGACCGGGTTGCTGTATGGAGTAGTAGGCAATTCCCTCGGGCTTCACCCTGGCCCTCTCCCTGCAGCCCACGGAATGACCGCGCTCAGCCCACCGGGCACCTCCTGTTCCCGCAGGGGCTGGAAGAAGCCCACCGGGGACTGTCGTCCACACCCCACTGCCGCTGTGCCCCTGCCCTCCGCCATCAGGCGCAGCCACACTCCTCCACGATCATGTTGGGCACGTCCCGCTTGACGATGTTGTACTCGTCATCGAAGTAGAGCATCGACATGGAGCTCAGCTTGGTGGGGATGCAGCAGGAGTTCACAGGGCCGGGGTTCAGGCCCCGCATGCGGTACTGGTTCACCACGGCCGTGTGGAAGGAGGAGGCGGAGCCGGGGACCCCGGCCAGGTAGGCCGGGCAGCTGCCCTCGCAGTAGTTCCCGTAGTAGCCAGTGGGCGCGATGATCCAGTCATTCCAGCCGATGAGCCGGAAGTCGATGAAGAACTGTTGCCTGCAACAGAGGTTGGTCCGGCCATCGCACTCCAGGCCCCGCTTCCGGATGCGATGCCTGTTGTCACCCAGCCGAGCCTGCACCACTACGAAGGGCCGGTGTGACTCCTCACCGGGGTCCACGAACACTGGCACTACGGCCAGCTCCTGGCAGCTGTCACACTGCACATCCAGGTTGAGTCGTCGCTCACCGCGCTCGAACAGGGCTTGGATGGCCTCGGTGAGCGGGAAGGTGTGCCAGCCACTGCGCTTGAGGTCCACCTTCTTCTCCACCACATTCCACCTGTCTCCGTGGCCCTGCTCCTGGAAGTACACCTTGACCCGCACCTTCCGCCGACTGCCCTTCTCCAGCACGTAAGGCAGAAGTTTCAGGTAAAGCCACAGGCTGGCCTGCACCACAAACAGGTTCTGGTTGCCTTCGTTGGAAACGAAGAAGTACAAGCGAACCCGGGAAGAGGCGAGGCCATCTGCAGAGAAAGGGGAGAACAGGCCAAGTGAGCTCAAGGAGAACACGAGGCATCGGGGGAAATGGACTCCGCTGCCTCATGCTGGAATGTACACTTGCCACACAGCTGGAAAACGTTACCGACCAGAAATACCGATCCCAGAGCCCGGGCCTCTGCCTGTAACCTGGGAGAGGCAGAAAGAATCATTTCCCTTTGAGAAACCTGGGCCAGGTTGGAGCTGGAGGGTCCGGCTTCTAAGATCCGGCCTCACCTCTCCCAGGCCAGGACTCCCTGGAGACGGCCTGTCAGGCCTCAAAGCTCAACAGAGGAACTTGTCAGGAGGCCAAGATCTTAACAAGTTGTTATGGGTATCTGTGAAATCTGAAAAACAAAACCAGGATCGCAGGGAGGATTTTGGGGTGGGTTATTCTAAGTAGGTTTTTTTCTTCTTTCTGGTTAACTTAGGGCATTGCAAAATCAAAGCTGAGCCACCTACCACCTCTTTCCAGTGTTTACCTAAGTATGATCTGATTCAACCCCCAGTGAAACCTCCATAGCAAACAAGCCAGCTCTGCTCAGGTTTCCAACACAGGAACATGTGGCTTTGCAAGCTGCAAAGTGCAGCCCTTGTTTCCAAGTCGTTCCAAGGGACAGGACATTCAGCCTTGAAACTTGGAAGTCCAATCCTCTAACAAGACCCTGGTTCCCCGTTCATGAACGTTCAAAACCTCCAGGGAAAGCAGAGGCTGGTTGGTGAGTCTCTCAATAATTCAGCTCAACAAGAAGAGTGGCCCATGCCAGCCAGGAGATGACTCTCCTCTCATCCTACATTTGGGTGACCCTTCCCTTTGACAATCTCTACTTTTTCTCTTTCTTTAATTTTTTCTTTCTTTCTTTCTTTCTTTCTTTCTTTCTTTCTTTCTTTCTTTCTTTCTTTTTTCCAGGAACCAGGCAACTCTATGGACACAGTTAGTTTTATGAAACCTCCCACCATGCCCCCCCCAGACCCCCTTCTCCGGCCTTGCCCGGCTCCTCTAATAACACTGACATCTGACTTTGAAATGGGGGAGGCTGCAGCCTTAAAAGCTGCCTGTGACCTGAATCTGTTATTTATAAGTCAAAGAGCTGGCTCCGTGAAACGGACCAGAAATATAACAGCCCCCGCTGTCATTTTGTGCCACCGGGACCAAAAGGCCTCCTCGACCTTCCAGAGTCACATTTCTACCCTGGGCCCCAAAGCACCTTTTAATCCAAACCCTCTAATTGCATGTCGAGCTTCCCCTGACTCAGGCGGACAGCTAAAACGGCAATGCATTTCTTTCTAAGCACAAACCAGCCCTGATTGTCTCTGCTTTTCTCCACACCCGGCCATGCAAAACTTTTCATCCCTTTTCATCCCCAGGCGGCATCAGCACGGTCTGACTGCTGCCTGGGGGAGCGTGGGGGGGGGCATCTGCAGCCATGGGCACCACTGACCCCCCTCCTCCCAGGCTCCCTGCTTGTCCCCTGTCCCTGCCTACACCGGTGCTTCCCCCCTGAGACCTTCTCTGCAGTCCTCTCTACACAAATGGGGCCGAGCTCCAGGCACAAAAGCCAGCCTGGCTCATTCAAGTCCTGAAAAGGACAGCGGAGCCGAAAGCACTTGCAGCATTTCAGCGCAGGCACGTTTTCCTCCTTCTTTTAAACTTCCCAAAGATTTTTCTCTCCCCGATTTTTAAATTTAGACAGAGGTAGAGCTCTACAATCAGGTGCTGGGGGGGGGGGGAATTCCAGAAAGGAGTCCTACCCTTTGTTAACTAGAAACTCTGCAGCTCGGACCAGAGGGCTGTCGCTGCTGCCAGGCAAGCCAAAGGCACGGGGCTGTCCCCCGAGCCGCATCTTTCTGTGTAAATGATGGACCTGTTGAGAAGCCTGCCTTCCGCCCCATCCTGGTGCCCACACAATCGGAAGAGAGGTTGCCTAGCTCTCCCCAGCGAGGCTTCAGCAATCCTGGCAAGCCCACGCCGCCCAGCGATGGAAGCGGCCCCGGGGGCCTCTCACGCAGGCACACACACACACATGCACTCACACACACACACACACACACACACACACATACTCTCCTCCGGCCCACGTATATCAACAAGCACACACATCTCCATCCACACTGCTAAGCCTACACTCCGATCGTGGGAAACAAAAACATTAAGCAATCTCCAAGCAAGTGCCCACAGAGCCAGGGCCGCGCGCATCTGCCGGGAGGGGGACGCGCGCCCAAAGGCGCTGGGGCCCGATTCCCAAGAGCAGGGGTGAAGGGCCGGGCTCTCAGCTGCGTGAGTGGGGGGACCAAGAAGGGGTCTACAACCTGGGGGAAGAGAAGAGCTGAGCGCGCGGGGCCGCGGGCAAGCTGCTGGGCCGTGACTCCAGGTTGCCCCTGGGGCGCGCCGGCTGTGGTGGCCGCAGGAGCTGGCAGAGAGGGAGGGAGGGAGCGCGGGCCGCTACTGGCCGCCCGAAGGCCATACCCACCTGTCTCAGCAAAGCTGATGATTTCGGAGACGCGCTCCTGGCCGTCGGCGCCGGGGCTGGCGTGGCCGTCGAGGTGTGGGATCTCCACGCGGCCATCCTCGCGTACCTTGCCCGCGTGCAGCTTGCGCAGGGCCGTGACCATGGCGGCCTTGGGCACAGCGTGCGTGATGTTGGGCCGGCCCCGCAACTGCAGGCGGTTCAAGATGTGCCGCTTCACTGCCTCCAGGAAGTCGCCGTCCACCCGGCCCAGCTCCTCAGGCCGCCGGAAGCCGCCGCACGACGTACAGGTGTCCTGCGAGGAGCCCGGAGCTCCGGGCGGCGGGGGCGGCGGCGGCGCAGCGGGCGACGGCGGGGGCGTGGGGGAGCCCCAGGCCTCGGGCCCCAGCCAGCCCGCCACCAGGAGCAGAAGGCAGGCGGCCCCCAACACCCGACCGGGCAGCCCGTCCATGGTGCGCCGCTGGCGACAAGGGCGCCCGCCGCGAGGCGAGGCGAGCCGAGCTCAGGGCCGGGCTCCGGGCTCCGGGCTCCGGGCTCCGGGCGCACCGCCCCGCCCCGCCCCCGCCCGAGCCCGCGCCCGCCCGGGCCTCCGCCCGCCCGCCTGCCGGGAGGGCCGCCGCCGGCTCGCAGGGGGAGGGGGCCGGCCGGGCCGCGGGGGTTCCCGCGCGGCGGCGAAGGGGCGCGGAGGGCCGCGGGGGCTGGAGGGGCGCGCCGGGCGCCGGCGGGTCACTGCCGCACGGGCGTCTCGAGGAGCCTCAGCATCTGCAGCCTTCTGCCCATCCTCTTCGAGTCGGGGCCCCGCAGCCCCCGCTCCGGTGAAGCGAAAGCAGCAGCGGCGGCGACTCAGCCGCGGGGATGGGAAGGTGGCGAAGGAGCCGGTCGACGCAACTTGGTCGAGACCGAGAAGAAGGTGCCGGAGCCCCCAGAGCGAAGCCGGGCGCGGCTTGGCGCGGCGCTGCGGCGGGCGCTGCGGCGGGGCCCCGCGCTCGCACCTGAGCGCCTCGCCCTCGCTGCCTGGCGCCGAGAAAGAGCCGCCGCCGCCGGCGACGGGCAGGTCGTCCCCGCCGCGGGCCGGCGGGAGGCGGCGCGGAGCGAGCGCGGTGTGGGGGAGCACCGGCCGCGCGGGCCAGCTCACAGGCGCTGCTGAGCTCTCGGCCGCGGGCCCTGCAGTCCTCTCGGCGCGTCACACGGCAAAGTTGTCTCCAGGCTCCCGGGGCGCCGCATCCACGGGCGGGCAGCGGGCGGGCCGGACGCGGCGAGCTTCTCCGGGGCCTCTGCTCTGCCCGCCTCCTCGCCGCCTCCCTCTCCCTCCGCCTGCCTGCGCGGGCCGGCCGGACGCGGGGCGCCGGCCGAGGAGGGCGAGGCGGAGGCCGGGCTCCTCTCGCCCCGGTCTCTTCTGCCTGCCGCGGCGGTGGCGAGGTCTGCTCGAGCACCTAAAAGTCTCCCGGCGTCCCCGGGAGGCGATGCCCTAGCTCGCGCTCCCACTGGCACACGCTGCAGGGCCGGGAGAGAGCGGGCGGGTGGCAGCGGCGTCCCCGCGCCCAACCGCGGCACGGAGTGGAGAGCACACCGAGGAGTTCTTGGCTTTGCCCTCTCTTCTTTTACAGTCCCCGTTTTTCCTCCAGAGGGGTAAAAATGCTGCACACTCTCCGTATGTGCGCGAGCTTTGAGATAGACGTTGGCAGAAGGGGGGGGAGCGTCGTCCTGGCCGTGCGGGAGGAGACGGTCCGCGCCTCCCCGCTCGGGCTTCCCGGGGGCGGAGGGGGAGGCGGAATCTGTTCAGGTCGGTGCTGCCCGCTCCCCCGCCCACCTCCGCTTCCCTCCGCTTTTTCCCTTTCTGCCTTAAGGAGGGGCGACTCTGTCCTCTATTCCCCCGCMCCCCCCCCCCCGCAAGGCCGGGCCACTTCTGCTGCTTCGAAACTTTCCCCCCACGTGGGTGCCCCGACCCTCGCCCAGCTGGGCGTTCGAGGCACCGATGGGCTCCGGGCGCTCGCCACTCTCCCTCCCACCGCCCCTTACCCGCGGACTCCCAGGACCTGCCCCTGTCCCAGTGGCTGTCCTCCAGGACCCAGGCGGACGACTCTCGCCGTGCGCCCGCCCCCGGCGGTCCGGGGGTGCTCCTTCTCTTGCCGACCGGGTGAGGCGGGGCAACAACGCGCCTGGGCTCTGCGGGTGGATTCCGCTCCCGGGGTGCAGTGCCCTCATTGTGCGAGGACCCAGCCTCAAGGCCCACAGAGGCCTCTGAGCCCCGGGGCTTCCCGGACTGGTGGGGTCTGCAGCAACCCCACCCCACCCCCACCCCGCCTTGGCAAACCATGGCTCTCAGTCAAAGCCGGGTTTCAGTCGGGGCTCAGCCACTGCCAGCTTTGTAGCAGTGCTCTTGGATAGAGTCCTCATCTTCTCCAGTCTCTGTGTCCTCGTCTGTAAAGGGGGTACAGAGACACCTTATTATCAGTGGCTGATTGGGAGGCCTAAACGAGGTGACCGGGCCAAGCTCCTCGCAGAACTGACGGTTCCAGGGAGCTGTTCTCTGGCTGCCAAAGAAACACTGTCAGTGGAAATCTGACTCCAGATCCTGTCCAGAACCGCGAGTGCCATCCATTTCTTTTGTCCCTTCTCAAGCCCCCACCTGTGTCTGGGGCTACACATCAATACCCACAGGGCACAGAGTTTGGGGTCAGGGACCCCTATCCACCCTTGGCCTCACCTGGCAGCAGGCAGGACTGTAAGGAAGAAGTAGGATGGGAGGTCATCTGGCTTTCTTCCAAAATGGAGGTATGACCTGGGCAGAGCGTGGCACCTGGCTGGGGTCCCCGCAGCCCCCCATCATGAATCTTTGGGCCAGCCGTGCACTGTGGAGCTTGGCCAGAACCGCAGGCCAGCCGAGGCCCCTAAAGTCTGGAAGTGGAGCGCCCCCTCCCTCCCAATCAGAGGAACCTACGGAAAAAGTCCCAGAGCCAAAACTAGGGCGGGTCTGAGTTTACCAACTTGAAGTCAGAAGCAGGTGCCCAGCTAGAGCACTGAGAAGGCAGCCCACCTGCCTGCGTAGAACCTTCTCAAGAATCCAGTTCTCTGCTGCTTCCATCCAGACTCCGTGGCTTGCCCTGTCTAGAGCCTGTGATCCATGGGCAGGAAGGAGGCACTCTACCTCCCAGGCAACCTGGGCCAGCACATCCTGCAAGGTCATCCTGCTGAACCAGGCAGCACCCCTCTTGGTGGATTTGCTTGCATCTTTTCATGGGCACGTGCACTCTGACCTCAGGCTTTCTCCATCACCTGAGCCTCTGACTACTTGGCAAACTCATTCTCAGTCTTTAGGACCCAGCCCAATCTCTTTTCCTTGACAAAGCTCTCCCTGACCCTCTTTGTGCCCTAGATGGTACTTGTGTGATGAGGCCCCTGTGTCCGTGCCTGGCTGTTATCTCCTTACCTGTCTATCTCCAGCCCAGGAACCAGGACTCATGGGCCCTGTCTAGGGTTAGACCTGACATGATCAGGGAGCTTATTGAAAGAACGATTGATTGAATGAATGAGGGAGGTCATTAAGCCAGTGAAGGATTTAATACCACCAATCCCCCCCAGCACAAGCCCTGGAAGAAGCATTCTTGACCTGCCCAGCTTCAACCCTTCCTACTGCCAGCCTCACCTGGTCTGGACAGGGAAGAAGCGTGGGCAAGGGCTCCCCACCTTCAGAAAGGTGCAGCATGCTGCCTGTTAACCTGGCACCTGGGAAAGGCAAAAGCCACTGTGTCCTTACTGGTGGGAGGAGGGAAGAGGAGGGGGGGTCCACACTTTGCTCCCCTGGTGGAGGAGCGTCAGCCCTGCTGCCAGTCATCTGCTGGGAGGGAACTGGGTCAAGCGGTAGTCAGAAACCATCTGCTCGAGAAGCTGGGATTATCCCGCCCTCTGCTGATCCCCCAGCCCACAGGAGCCAAGGGTGTAAATTGAGTCCTTCCAGATCACCTTGTAGTTTTTTTTTTGGAGGGAGGGACTCTTCATCCCCTCCTGAGGGGCAAGGACCTGTTCACGTTGGTTCAAAGTCTCATTTAGCATGGGGCTCAATTCTTGTGTTGGTGACCTCAGCCTTCAATCTTGGCCAGGGATGTGACTGCGCCTGTCAGTTTTGAATACAATAATGCACCACCGATGCCGTAGCCAACGCCCTGCACGCAGGCTGCAGGACCAGGCCGCCCCCACGCAGGATGCTGGCTCCCTGCCGCCATCAGGGACCTCGGGCCCAATGGAGAAGGCAGGGAGGAAATATGGTGACACCGTAGAGTCAGGCATACAGAAAATGGAAGAGGTATCTTCCAGCGTGCTCAGAGCACTTTGTTCTCACACCAGTTTCTGTTTGTTTGCCTAACCCATCGCTAAGTGTCAATTTGTGGCTGGTGAAAATTTCCAAAGTAACAAGGCACACCATAAAAGCAAGACTGAAGTCTCATTTGCAAAAAGGATTAAGAACCCAGGTGCAGTACTTGGCCACACAGCTCCTGCAGGGTATGGGGGAAGAGAAGGCCTTAGCTGGAGAGAGGTTTTGGCAGAGTTGGACTCAAGGACCTGGCATTCACTTTCCTACCACTGCTGCTGCCAAACGTCACCATCCTACATCACGCCTCTCTAGAACAAGTCGGTGTCAGCATGGCAGGAGCTGTAGGCCTGGCTCATAGTGGCTTCCTGCCCAGGGGACAGGAGATGAACAAGGTGAGCCTGGAGCAAAGAAGGATCCCACAGAGGCGGGCCCTAAGGGGCAAGGGGCCAAGCTTGCCCTTTTAAAAGCTCAGACACCAACGTGGAGCCCCGCAGAACACCTCAAGCTACCTCATGCTTTTGAGGTCACAGAACCAAGTCCTTGATGAGCAAGTGGGAGGGTTATTTTGATGAAACAGCTCCATGTGTCTCACCAGGGCAGCTGGACAGCGCCCACCAGCCACAGAGGGCCCCAGTGGCTGTCTTCACCTTAGGTCTGGCAACTCGTGATCGCCTGCAGCATTGTGCCGAGCTGCCCAAGGCCCAGTGTGTGACTTAGTGCCTTGATTCATCACACAGGACACATGGAAAACTGAAGGGCCACCTGTGGTTTGGCCAACACCCCGAAGTTCAGCCATAGGCCTGGGACTCCATCAGAGACCCACAGCAGGCCACCACCTGTGTGCTCCCGTCCCTCCCCAGGGACAGGGACATCTGGCCACACAGGCCCATCCCTCCTTTGACATCTCCATTCAGTGACCCACAAGGCTTGCACTCAGAAGCATCTTATGAGGCTTTTCATCCACAGTGTCACTTTCGGAGTTCCTCAGCTCCTGACACCCTGGAGACCATTGATTGTTGTTGAGAAACACAAATCACCGTGTCCTGGCCCCATTCTCAGTGAGACCATGGAACCCGAAAGAAACCAACTTGAGAGGACCTCCTCGGCGGCACCTAGCAGGGCTGTGGGTGGGGCTCCTG